GGACCGCGAGATCGTGACCTGGCTGAAGTCAGACGCTTAACCGACTGCGCCACCCAGGCGCCCCACTCCGATGCATTTTGGATAGGACTTGTCATCCTAGTTCCTCTGGCAGGATGATGCTGGAGTCTGCGGCCCTCCACCAGCCATGCAAGCATTGGGTCATAGGCAAGCGTTTAATCCATTGTAAGTCAGTGCCAGTATAGTTGGGGGTGTCCAGCAGAGTCGGTGCCCCTGGATCGGGTAGCATGGTTGTTAAAACCTGAGTCACCAAAAGGGCTGCCTCCTTTGCTTTTGAGTCGGCTAGCCAGTTTCCCCTGGCTAGTGGTGTGTCTGCTTTTTGGTGTCCTGGACAATGGATGATAGCTAGTGCCTTGGGCAGCCAGAGGGCCCTTAGGAGTTCAAGAATCTCTGTTTTGTTTTTAATAGTCTTTGCCTCTGCTGTCAGAAGCCCTCTCTCTCTGTAAAGGGCTCCGTGGATATGAGCGGTGGCAAAGGCGTACCTGCTGTTGGTGTAAATGTTTATTCGTTTACCCTCTCCCATGGTTAGTGCCTTGGCCAGGGCGATCAGTTCTGCCTGTTGAGCCGATGTTCCGGCTGCCAATGGCTCTGCCCAGATGATCTCCATCTCTGTGGTTATGGCTGCCCCCGCGTATCTGATTCCTTCTCGGACAAAACTGCTGCCGTCCATATACCAGGTGGCGTCCACGTTAGGCAGTGGCTGGTCCCGGAGATCAGCCCTGACTCCGTGCACCTGTGCCAAAATCTCTTGACAGTTATGCAGAGGGGGGGGTCCCAGTCTGAGTTAGGGAGTAGTGTTGCCGGATTCAGGGTTGTAGGTGGCTTGAATAAAATTCTGGTGGGGTTTAGCAGTAGGCTCTGATAATGGGTCAGACGAGCATTGCTGATCCAGTGGTCTGGGGGCTGTTTGAGTACCCCTTCAATAGCATGTGGGGTGGTAGCATATAGTTTTTGCCCCATGGCTATCTTGTCTGCGTCCTTGACCATAGTGGCCACCGCGGAAATAATTTTTAAGCATGGGGGCCATCCAGTGGCCACCGTGTCCAGCTTTTTAGAGAGATAAGCTATGGGTCTTTTCCAGGGACCTATGTACTGGACAAGGACCCCTTTTGCCACCCTGTCTTTCTTGTCTACATACAGGTAGAAGGGCTTGGTTAGGTCAGGCAACCCGAGAGCCGAGGCAGACAGCAAGGCCTGTTTAAGGTCATTAAAGGCCTTGTTCATGGCCTCTGTCCATTCAAAATTTTGTTGGTGCCTGGT